TGAGATGTTTGGATATAACTTTCCAGTGTTTACTTGGTTCTTGAGCTCCATATAGAATTGAAGTTGATTTATATTACTTTCACGTATCTTTCTCATAATTTTCTGCTGGGCAGCTTTGGAGTTCTTAAAATACAGCACTCAATTATAGAGTTTGCAATATAGAAGAGAATAAAACACTGAGATAGGTTTTCATCTCTTCTTCTTCACCAGACTCCTTAACCTTGATCACGTATTTCCCCATCTACACAGAGGAAGTGAATAAAAAGAAAAGAAAAAAGTGGTCAGCACTCAGAATTATTTGAACTTGTTCAGAAAGTAGGAGAGGCAGAGTTAAATAAAAGGAACCACAAATAGCCCTGTGGCCTAATTCCTTCTCTCAAGTCTCCTCTGTTCATTATCTTGAACAGTCACATTCAAAGGCAAGCCATAGTCTTTCCAGCTGTCCACCAGGCCCCTGAGGGCCTTTAGTTCCCTGACCTGATCTACAGCTGCCTTCTCACTTGTTCCTGTCCCAGCCCTCTGGTCTCCTCATTGTCCCTTGATTGCATCACATATGATCCTCTTTCCCCTTTACACTTTTGTACTGCTGTTCTTTCTGCCTAAAATAGCACATTTGCAGATATCCACTTACTTTCAACTTTCTACACGTCTTTGCTAAACTGTCACTTTCTTAGTAAGGTCTACTTTTAGAATTACATCCACCTCTTCCCCTATACTCCAATCTCCTATACTCTGCTCTACTTCCATACCCCTAGGATTGATGACCTTTAAATGCAATATATAATTTTCTTATTATGTTTATTGCAAGTATTTTCTCTGCTAAAATATAACTATCTAGAGGGTAGAGATCTTTGTCTTGTTTTGTTTACTGCTCTAATGTATTAGAAAACAGTGCCTAGCATATAATAAGTACTCAGTATATATTGTTTAAGTGAAAGGACATTGAACTTATTCACTTTGTTCTGGGCATTCTTGCCACAGTTTGCTATAATTGACCATAGAAAGATTTCTTGCAACAAATTTTATTGTGTATGGGCTTTTGATCTGTTTTGTCTTTATTACTAAAAATTGCAAAAACACATGCCAAGAGGAAAGAGACATTTGTATGTTTGGTTTCAAAAACACATGTTAAAATAAAAAGAAGTTTGTGTGTTTAGTCCAAATGTAGAGGGAAATCACTTATATAAATAATTAATATAAAAAACTATAAAAAGTTTCATTGGCTTGAGGCAGTAGAAAGAGGAAAGAATATGAGGTCCGAAGACCAGTGGATGGTATCCTGGCTACCTCATTTACTTTCTTTGATCTTGGTTAGCTATTTATTAGTTTGAGCCTCAGTCACTTTATTTTTTAAATGGCAATAATAATATAGTAGAATCGGTTTCATTTGCCTTACAAGTGTATAACAATACATTTTCTTAATAAATACTGTTCCCTTTAACAACTAACGCCACATACATCTGAATTTGTAATTATGTTATTTTTCTGTTCACTTGGCAGATTCACCCTTTAGAGTATAAGCTCCATGGGGGCAAGTCTGTGTCTTTCTTTTTCAGTGTTGTGTTTCAAACTCTAAACACTGTCTCTGGAGGGTAATAGTTGCTTGGTAAATATGTTGAATGAATGATTTAAAAAATTTAATCCATAAAGTTCATATGACATAATAATAGTAAGTGGGTTTGTAATTAATTAATATATGTTTGTTATTACTGTCACTATCTAAATCATTATCATCATCTTCAAATGTGCTACTCAGGCTTTAATTTATTACCAAGATGGTGATCATCTATTAGTTTTACTGCCTTAACTTAGAAGTTTAGTGAAATAATACAGAAAACACATTACTGATCTGATTATTTTGTTACAGGTCTCTAAGCTGGCTGGGGTTTTTGTCAAGCATGGCATCAAAAAAGGTGACACTGTTGTCATCTACATGCCCATGATCCCGCAGGCAATGTATACCATGCTGGCATGTGCAAGGATAGGAGCTATCCACAGCCTCATATTTGGGGGATTTGCATCTAAAGAACTAAGTACTCGCATTGACCATGCAAAGGTACGTGCTTTATTTGGGGAAATCAAGCAGTAGCTACTTTTATTATAGATATATTTTTCTGGAAAGGAATCATCTGAGAATGATATTTACTTGTTAGATCATCCTTTCAAATAGGATACTTAAAATGTACTTTTTCTTTGGCATATATCTATTAATCAAACATTGATTTTTTGAGTCAGTCTTATGTGAAAGGCATCTTACTAGGTTCTTTGAGGAATGAAAATATAAGATAAGATGCATGCCTTTCAAGTGAGCTTGTCATATATTTGGGTGTATAAGACATACAAGAGAAAGAACTAATAACTAATTTATTCATTCTACATATATTTATTAAGTTCCCACTATATGTTCTTGAAACAGGAAAATAAACAATACTTATCAAATGGATGGGACACATAACTAGTTTTACAATCTATATAATTCCAGGAATGGAGGTAATTAAGTGATTAAGAGGTGGTGTCAGGAAGGTGTGAAGTCACATGTTTGAATGGGTACTAAAATAACAAACTTCATAAGTTTGTTGTAAAATATCATTGAGATACTCAATTTAAAACACTTGGCACAATGTCTAGCATGTAGTACTCATTAAAAATGTTATGGATTTATGAGCAAGAGTCAGAAAAGTTTTTTTTTTCTGTAAGTGACCAGATAGTTAATATTTTAGGCATTGCAGATTACATGGTCTCTTTGCAATTACTTAGCTCTACTGTTATAGTGCAAAGGCAGCCTTAGACAACACATAAGTGAATGGGAATGTCTGTGCCCCATCACACCTTTACAAAAACAGGCCGTGGGCTGGTTTTGGCTGACAACCATAATTTGCAGACCCCTGATTTAGAGGAAGAAGCATTTTCTTTTAGTTGGGGTGGTGAAGAGGGCTTCCTGAAGGAGGTCAGATTTGAGTTAGATCTTGGCTAAGATTCAGCTCATTGAAGAGAATGACATAGTAGGATCCAAAAAGAGAGAAAAAGAATTTGAGTCAAGCATTAGAGGCAAGAAAGTAAAATTGATTTGGGAGGACAGAAAGTAGGTCAGTGTTACTGAAGAGGGAGAGAAGGTGAGCTTGCAAAGGCAAGTTTTGTGTGAACTGGATTCTGTAAACCATGACCAGTAAACGTTTTTTGAGCAGGTGAGTGTCATGTTTCAAGCCATGTTAAGAGGAGGCAAGTCTTGCAGTAAGGAGAAGCTAGAGGCTGGAATAAGAACCTTTGATGGGTGGTCTATTTGTGAAGCCATGGGTAATAAGAGGAGAATAACAGCAGTAGGAAAATTAAGAATAGAAGGTTGTTATCAGAGTAAGTGATAGCTGACTTTAGAGTTTTTCAAGCTCAAGATGAGACATTCTTAACAGGGAAGGGAACTGATATATTTTGAGAGCCTCCTGAGTGCTAGGCATAGAGTGAGGCTTTGCATATTTCACTTCATCTGATGATAGATCAGTTACTGGTACTAGGATGCTAATTTGTTACTTTATTTTTATTTTTCTTGTTTTTCTTTTTTAAACGTTCTGAGATAGTGCTTATGAAGAAAATCAGGGGGAAATATGAATCAGTCACTGACCTGCAAATCAGTGGAAAGTTGGGGACTTCTCTGAAGAAGCTATAGACTCCATTTTTTTAGCTAGAGAAATCCCGAACAGCATTTAGACAAAGGTATTGGATGTATTATTTCCTTTAAAAAATTATAAGATTTGGAGAAAATGAAATATAGAAAAATAAGGATTTATAAAATGTATGCTATACACTTAAGTTTTCATTCATAACACACACACACTCACATACACACACATACAAACACATAGCATTGTGAAGGAGTTTAGGCAGTAAATGCATGTTCTTATGGGCAAGGCCATGGGACAGATCAAATTTAAGGAGAGAAGATGGAGATAGAGTAATACATCTGAGATATTTGAATAAAATTCATAGTTGAAATCGGATGATTTTGATGTCATGATTTTCAAGTAAATAGCTAAAGAAAAAGTTTTATTTTAACAGACAGATGACAAGCATGTATTCTAACAATTTGGTCCAGATCCCAGTAAAATCTCCAGTAAAATACTGTTAATAGAAGTCTGAAAGGGATTATTTAACCAGAGGAAGAATTTAATTTTGACTTTATTAAATTATTCACTTCCTGACATATTCTACATATGTTCTTAATTTATCTGGGTTTTGTTATTTTTTATTTATTCATTTACTTATTTATTTATTTATTTATTTTTTTGGCAGCTGGCCAGCACACAGATCAAACTCTGGACCTTGGTGTTATCAGCACCAGTCTCTAACCAACTGAGCTAACTGGTCAGCCTGTATATGTTTGTAATTTGATTTGCAGCCTAGTTTCATTTATTCAGAATTCTAATCTTAGGAACTGTTATCTAGAGTCATTTTTGCAAGTATTACAGATATTAAAATGTGCGTTATATACAAATTCCTGACCTTTAAAAAATAATAAAAGGAAACAAGACTTATTTTTCTTTCTTTTCTTTCTTTTTTTTTTTTCTTCTAAAATGCAACTTCATGTAGTGTAAAGAAAAAGGTTCTGCGATCAGACTGGCCCTTTTTTCTGCTTCCGCCATTATAACCTGGGGCAAGCTATGTAACTGTACTGAGCCTCAGCTCCATGCATATTAAATGATATTCAGAAAGCAGAGAGTATTATACATGCATATATTTGGCACAGTATAAGCCTTTCCTAGATGAAATGTACTGTAACCAAAAATCAGAATTCAGGAATGGATGCAATACCTTGGATTGATTATCTGTCTTCTGAATAATTCATTTTCTGTCTCCTTTGCTTTGGATTTCTTGGTGAAGAAACAGTATACTTAAAAGGAGGAAAACATATTTGTTCCTGAAAATTAATGAGAATTTTGGGTCAGTTCCACAAATACTTATTGAGAGCTTATGGCATGGCAAGCACTGTACCAAGTATAGGGGACACAAAGGTAAATGGCATCCAAACATGGCCTTGGAAAGTTTAATGTGCAGTGATGGAGATGAACAAACACTTTTACTGTAGTCAGACATCTGAGGCATGCCCAGAATGTACTGAGGAAGGGACATTAATCCAAGCTGTGATCCCTTCCAGTGACACCTTTTGGCTACACCTGAGTATGCCTTAAAGAAAGACTAGCAAGTTGTCAGGTTAAAGAAGAGTACCAAGTCTATTTTAATGAAACTTAAATCAACTGGGGGCCCTTTTATGAAATATAATATAAAATTACAATAGAATATGTGGTAAATATGAATATGCACAGGGATCTTCAAAAAGTTCATGGAAATATTATCTTTTAATTCTATTTTTCCATGAACTTTTCAAATTTTGTACCTCATAGTTCAAATTTTTTACCTCACATTTAAAATGGGAAAAATTCATTAAAAAAATTATTGGAGACTTGGGTCCCTTCCTCTTGTGGTCTCTTTAGGCACTTAGAAGAGATGCTTACATTGAAAGCCTTAGAAATGCTTCTTGATGGTAACTGGGCTGGCCTACTCCACCTAAGAAGTGCTGCAAGCTCAACAACAGCTCCTACAGGTGTCTGTGCAAGTGAGGGGCCCCAAGGTTTGAATTTCACTGGTTCGTGGCAAATCCACAGGGTTTAACGAATTCTTTGGAAGGTGTTTTGTGAGCCCAAAAAAAAAAAAAAATCATTATGAGCCGAAAGCATCACTGAGTGTGTAATTTTGAATAGGTAAGTAAAATTTATGTGGAAGTGGTTAGATCTACCACATTGGTTTTTGGCCATTTTATTCAGTAGAGAACAGAGTCATTCTAACATTTCTTTAGAAATGTTAAACTACCAGTCTGCACCTGAAATATTGTGATTACCTTAATTAGGATTGTTAAAGCTTTCTCAATTTTTTTTTATTGTAGCCCAAGGTGGTTGTTACAGCATCATTTGGTGTTGAACCTGGAAGGAGGGTAGAGTACATACCACTTCTAGAAGAAGCACTAAGAATAGGACATCACAAACCAGACAAAGTTCTCATTTATAATCGTCCAAATATGGTAATTTGAAATTGAGTTTGGTTCTTGCTTATGGTAATGCATTAAAGATGATTTTGGTTTTGACCATTTGAAAGAGACACTCAAATTATAAACAATTAAATATACTGCCTGAATGTCATTGTTATTTTTAGAAAAAAAAAAGATATGTATGATACATACTGATTTTACAAAAAACTAACTTAAAACCAAAGGATTCAAACACAGAAACATATGTGATATTAATGAATTGGGTTCTTTGTATAGTGTGATTGTGTAAAGTGTTATTTACTAGTTCAAATTATAACAACAATAATAATACTAACAAACACTAATTGGCTGCTTGTCATATGAGTTTTAAGACACTGTAAGATAATTTAAAAAATCTTCCTGGTAACCCTGAGCTACGTGATACTATTATTCCTATTTTAAAGAAGAGGAATCTAATGAACATAGAGATAAACTTGCCCAGTAGTAAGTGCCAGAGTCGTGATTTGAATGCATGCACTCTGCATGCCTAATTCCTCAGCTATCCTGTCTCTTGGAGAGGTATGATTAATCTGTATGCAAAATGCCTTTTAAAAAATTTGGAAAGGTATTTAGGCCAGAAATAAAACTATGTTCAGGAAAACAAAACATGAATATTCTAAACAGATAAATTATTCCGTGACCCATGAAGGAAGAAAAAACAATAGAATATATCAGTAAGTACATTTAACAGTACTTTTCAATGAAGTAGATGGTATAACTTGCCCTATTTTACAGATGAAGAGTCTAAATAATGAAAAGGTCATACCCAAAGTCACAGCTGATAAATGGTAGAGCCAGGATTTGAACTCCAGTTTAATGACTTTTAATCAACAAGATATATGCTATTTCTTTCACTGTAAAAACATAGGATATGTATATTAATGTTTCCTATTCAAGGGGTGACAATCAGCTTCGTATCTCATGAATATCCTAACCAATAAAAAAAAATGATAGATAACATTTACTGAGTGCTTACTAGAAGTCAGGCCCTGGGTTAGTGTTTTAACAATAATCCTCACATTGAAAGTAAATGTTTTAGGATATTACCCAATATTATTGTGTTGTCTGTAGATACATAATAAGTTTTTAGAAAAGGACAAATGGACAAAAGGATAGCTTCAAGATAGTGATTATATCTGGGGAGGGACAGATGAGAATAGAGTGTTGGGGCATCATCTGTATTAAAAATATTGTACTTTAAAAAGTGATACATGTGGGTGATGGAAATATTCATTATCTTGATTGTGGTAATTTTTTCATGAGAGTATATGTATGTCAAAATAACAAATTGTATACAGTTATATGTAACATATGTCAACCATAACTCAATAAAACCATTAAAAAGCAAAAAAACCCAAGCAGCAACAACTACAAAAAATCAGGAAAAACATGTCTGTAAAGGAAATGCACATGTGTAAAACCTAAATGTAGATTTTTTTGATTCATTTTGTCAAATCTCCTTTAAACATACCTGTATTTCTTAGCTTCAAGAATAACTATTAATTCAAGTCCTCATTTCATTAGAGGCCTATAAAAAATTATCAATGTGTAATTATTTTTATGATCACTCAATTAACATTTTTTATTATGCAGTGAGATACTTTCTTATAGGTCTTTAATTGTGATGCCAAAAGTTTGATAAATTGAAATTAATTGCTTTTATCTGATGCATAAAAATAAATGGAAACATGATTTGGCCATAGTTAGCTATTTTTATTTATCTAAGTGGTACAGCCAGTACCTAATAGAGTGAGGTTGGAGAAGCCACTTGGGTCTGAAACTTCATCTTCATGAAGGGTCTTCAATTCAGATTGTTACCTATAAATGTGTTTGTTCATACAAGCATCATATTTGTGATATTGTATTGAAGCATTAATTTGTAAATGTAGCTACTTAAATATATGACCAGTTTTTACAACCCCGATTAATATGTTAAGGAGCCCAGAAAATGGAAGTTGCTTGTCTTTTCTAAATATCTCAGAGTCTTTGGGGTTAACTCAGCTTGCCCAAAGCTTTCACCTTGATGAAATAATTGGTCAAGTACATCTCTACATGGTATATCTCACTAACATTCACTGAGGAATGCATAGCCTTGCTTGTACCTGTGCTATCATGTTCATCAATCATAAGCTTCCTGATATGTGATCTTAAGCTTAGCTAACATATCAGAAAATAACCAGACACTCCATGGGTGTTAACTCTACTTAAATGGCTTTAACTTCCCATTAGATTAACTTTTCCATAAGATGCTTCCCTACTGTTCACTTACCTGGCCATTTCATTGCCACTGTTTTTAAAGGGGTCTGTTTAGTTTCTTTAAAGTTGTATCTAATTAATTCATGGTTCCATTGTCACAAAGTCTACAACATAGGGCCTGGTTCTCAGAACAAAAAAAGAACACAAAACAAACATTTCTACTACATTAATTAATGACCTAGAAGGAAAAAACTAGGATAGCATTTTAGATATATCAAATAGTCTCATTAATTTTAAAAACTGTCTTTTATGCTTGAAAAAGCAAAAACAATTCTCTTACACCTCTGAAGATGATTTAGTATTTCCTCATTTGCAAAGGTGGCTGCAGTATTACTCCTAAATGCCCTTGTATAAAGAGAAATTTTAACGGGTTAGTTGACATTTCATTGTGAAGATGGAACTTATAATGTAAAAGAAGTAGATTACAAAAAATATAAATTAATTTATAAATTTATTAGTGTACATTCATCTACAGAAACATGGACCTCTGTTAGGTAAGCTCTGAGTGTTGAAAACCTAACTGCATCAGATTGAAATTCTTGAGTATCCCTTGATTTGAATAAAACATGGTTTTTTTTGTTAGTTCAGTTGAAGCCAATATCAAACTCTTGGAATTTTTATAAACATTTACCTTAACTTATGATTTTGAAATTCTTAATCATAAATCTGATGTTTAGTGTTCTATAGGCTTAGATTTTCAGTCATATGGTCAGACCTATATAGGTTTAGCTACCCTCTGTTGTTCTCTTGATTTAATCTCCTTTTTACAGAGCATATTCTTGTATTTTTGCTGTGTAGGAAACGGTTCCTTTGGCTCCAGGTCGGGATCTTGATTGGGATGAAGAGATGGCAAAAGCCCAATCACATGACTGTGTTCCTGTTCTTTCAGAACATCCACTGTATATTCTTTACACATCTGGAACAACGGGGTTGCCTAAGGTATTAACTCTCTTCGGAATAAATATCTATAGCAGCAGATTTCCTTTGTGCTCATAAAATTTTATCACTGAGAGAAAATGTTTACGGACTGTACCTTCATAAAGTTACTTTATATCAAATTTTGTGGTTTAGACAGTTACTTAATATTAAATGTTGTAACTAACTCTAAATGTAAAAATATATTCATCTTTTTAATGTCAAATGCTTTGCTTGTATTTCTTTCAAAATCTTTTCAAATACCAGAAATATGCCATTACTTTAGTAAGCTAGTAAAATTGATAAATATTTGACTGAATATCTGAAGGTTTAATAAAATTTTATACAAATATATTCTAAATGGAATATTTTTATTGTTTTAAATTGAGGTATAACTTTCATACGGTATGAAATTGATTTTTGATCTAGGGAAATTTAATTTTTTTACAAATGTAAGTTTGAGAATTGGCCTAGACAGTTTGAACAAAAGACAATTTATCCAGGGTACTGAATTATTTTATTTACAGCACAGAAAATGATGAAGGATTTTTAAATCTGTTTACCATGAGAGGTGTTTTCACAAAGGGAAGTTGAAAGCATCAATATTCATGAATGTGTCAAATGTCAACAAATACCATTTTTGTCTGTTATCTCCAAATAATATTGTTTCTTCATACAACTTCGTAAAAGCTTACGGAATCATCTGCCTTACTCATCCTTATTAGGAGGTTCAGTATTCATTGGATCATCGAATTTGGTGGGGGAAGAGACTTTCATAATCACTTTCATCCTGAGGGCAGTGGCCTCTTTATTACTATTAGATGTTTTGTAGCATCGGAGTTCTGAACACATAATCTTTTAATAATCCTAAAATAATTAATACATTAGATTGGATTTTAAAAAGGAAATTTAAGATGTTCCAAGTAAAACTTGCTGTGAAAAGGAAAATACTTGGTAGGGGAATTTATTGTCTCTGAGGACAGAGAACATGTTTTACTACATTTTGGTCTACCATTGTGCTTTGTATGTAGTTGATGTTCAATAAATTTTTACTGAATGCATAATAAACAGATGCATATACATGAAGATATTTATGTCATTGTAGGATTGAAACTTTATGAAGTTTTTACAGCTCTAGTCATTTGAAAATTAATATTCCTTCATATTGAAGACATTAAGAATTTTTTTTTGTTTAAGCATTCTAAATCATCTGCTGGACACAATTCTCACCCTCCAGTTCTTGCAGTTCTGCATCACAGTGCAGTTCTGCACCAGCCACATGGAGTCCAACCAAACATTTGGCTGTAAAATAAAAGGGGACTCAGCAAAATTATAATCTAATATAAAAGTATCAACATGAGAGCAAATCCTTGACCCTGAAAACATAGTATAATCTAATGAAGTTAAAAACAACAAAAATACTTTAACTCATTAAAAGCCTGTAGGAATCTTATAAAAATGTTTGTACCACCTCAAGACTTTAAATCACTCTGAAATTCACTGTGCCCTGGATTAGGATCTGAATGGGAAGAGTAGAAGAAAAGCTTGTCGGCCATTCAAAGCTGACTCAGCCAGTATAGTACAAATAAAATAAAAAGTAATACACAGTGCATTAATATTGAAAAGTGGTGGTTCCAAATAAGGAAGGATCCTAGCTACTCCAGGTTTTCTCTGGGTCAAGAAGTTCTTTTCTGGATTCCTTTCAGTGCCCAAACTGAAGATCCTTTGATGTTTCTGTCATTCTCATTTTTCTCCTAATGTACCATCCTGAAGATAATCTATTTCAGTAAATTGGAGAGGGCTTTAGTTGTTTGGAAATTTCTCTATTCACATTGAATTTGGCTCAATTCAATGTATGTGTACTGAGTGCTCATTCTGTGCTAGAATAGATAAAACTATGAGTATACCACAGTCCCTTCAGTCTAGTGGGATTACTGTCACCTCTCCCCCAGGGTGACAGAGACACAAAGGATTACTCAAAGCCCATTTCTTCTGAGCAGTGAGAGGCCCTGAAGGGGTTAATTTTCCAGGAACCCTCAAGAGAGAGACATTCCTCAGAAAAATAATGCCAAATATGCCCTATGTATTTATTCTCAGTATTTATTCTCCAGGCCAGAAAGTTACAGAAAAGGAACATAGGTGGTTACAAAAAGAACAGTAAGATAATTGTCATGGCAACACTCATTAGGTTTAGCTGAACCAAGGACATCTGCCCTTTAGAGCCAGCAATTTTGCTGTGTTTCAATTCTTTATCTACAACAGAGACTGGGGAAAGTTTCCTGTCTTTCGCAAGCTTAACATTTCTATGTGTAATTTTAAAAAGTTAGGCTATACATGAAACTACAGGGCCTTGGAAGCTAGGCCCTGTGAAATATATTTGCTTTGTAAATGTTAGTATACTCCACAGATTACAATGCATGTGAACACAGGTAATGCAAGATTGACTGTGATCCTTTTGTTGGGAGGTGGTGATTACCCACAATGGAGGCAAGGAGATTATTTTTCAGGCGTTTAGTGTAGAAATTAAATTAAACTTAACAGGGAGAAATCAGAAGGCTAGGCGTGGGCAGAGGAGGAGACTTCAAACCTGAGAACATAGGAGGGTGATTTTGAATCTTCACTGAAATACAAACACATGAGGATCTTTGGGGGCTGGGGAAACTGGGAGTTATTTTTTTTTAACATATTATGATGTGTCTTGGGGACATTAACATGGAGATGCCTGGTCAATAGTTGGAAGTGTGGCTGTGAGTCCAAAAAGTGTGTAAATCTGGGGTTGGAAATAGACCCTTGTGGGTCATCGGTGTAGAGGGCTGGTGCTTAAATCATGAGAGTGAGTGGTTTTGGAAGGTGAAGTATGCAGAATGGAAAGATAAGGCAATCCTTTCTCAAGGTCCATCAGAAATACTTCCCCCTCTCTTCAAGCGGACTTTGAAATTTCAATTACTTTGAAATTAGGTCTTGCCAGCAAATCTTATTTTTATCTACCTTGCACATATTAGTTTGTATTTACTTATTTTCATAACATTGAATATTCTCATACTTCTTTGAATCTGTTATGACACTAACCTTAAAATCTGACCATGGTAGATCCTCAGAATATTTATTGAATGATTTCTTATTACTCTAGTTAGCCTCTCTGACTCCTTTTTATTCATAAAATTGTCATTTCATTTTTGGTAGGCATAATCAAGATTGATAGTATCTAAAATTTTAATGTTGGGAGCTCCAGAATAGAAGTACAGGAAAGATGAGCACACTTGCATTAATAAAGCATTTAGATATAAATTTCATGTCATTATATAGTTAGTTTTCTCAATCTTTGATCTTCATGAGGAAAAATGATGTTGTGAGCCCATAAAAGTATTCTGCTTGAAAATGCTTGTTTTTCATAGGCACATATAAGACACACATAAGGCAGTCTATTTTTTGGTTAGAATTTGCAGATATATTTAGGGCATATTTGCATCTCTTCATCTGCCTTCCCTGGAGTTGTCAGGTTGCTATATGACAGGTTAATCTGTTAGCTGCTGCAAATATTCCAGCAACCACAGCTGAGCTGCTTAGCATACAGTTCAGTTTTGTTGTGGGCTTCAGTCCTGTTTGGTTTGGGTGCCTATATTCAAGAATGTTCAAAGCGCTACACAATAAAAGAATCCTTCATCTGAATGGCGTGTTTTTATGGGAGCTGGAGATTTAGTGATAGTCATATTTACCTTCTTCCAGTATGATATCATGGAGGGAAGTGATAACCAAAAAAAAAAAAAAAAAAAGAGAGAGAGAACAGGGGGAAAAAGAAACCAAAAGGAAGGGATTGAAAGGAAGGATATGGCCTTTTGTCCTGATGTGCATTTACACAACTTATGTAATTTTTATTCTTACTTGTTAGGTGACTTATTCATATTTCCTGCCCTAAGGAAAAAAATGAAAGGCAAATTAAAAAAGCAGTGAACTTAAAAAAAAAAATCTGTCCTACAATTTTTGCAGTTAAAATGCTGAACTTGCTACACTTTTGCCTCATATCTCATAGTTGTTCAAACCAATAAAAAATTGTGGAGCTGCTAAAGTATCCTCCATAGAGGTAGTTTCAAAGTCATCCAAAAACCTGTAGCAAGATTTTGTGTTTGATGACGTATCCCAGACAGAAACATATTTCTTCTAAGATGATTCACTGTTCTTCAAGTTTCTAAGGTTTCTCCTCAACAAAGAAGAGTATTTTAAAAAATAATTGTATTGGGCCGAACCCGTGGTGCACTCGGGAGAGTGCGGGGCTGGGAGCGCAGCGACGCTCCCGCTGCGGGTTCAAATCCTATATAGGAATGGCCGGTGCGCTCACTGGCTGAGCGCGGTGCGGGCGATACCAAGCCAAGGGTTGCGATCCCCTTACCGGTCACGAAAAAGACAAAATAATAATAATAATAATAATAATAATAATAATAATAATAATAATAATAATAATAATAATAATAATAATAATAATAATAATAATAATAATAATAATAATAATAATAATAATAATAATAATAATAATAATAATAATAATAATAATAATAATAAATTGTATTGTTCACACATGTGTTTATTCCCTAAATTGTTCACTCATTTAGTCAGTCAACAAATGTATTAAATGCTGAAGACACAGAGGCATTCTCCTCACAGCATTAGGTGGTGATGTCAGTGCTCTAATGAGGTTTGCAAGTCCTGGGTGCTATAGAAGACCAGGGAGACATTTAACACAAACAATAGGATGGGGAACAATTTCCCACAAAGAGTGGCACTCTCACAATGTCTTTGCATACTTGTGTGAAGAAGAAGGAGCTAATCAGCTTCAGAAAAAGGGTGGGACTTCTAAAAAGGTGGGAGCTAAGAGAGAAAGGAAGGATAGACGGAAGGAAGGAAGGAAGGAAGGAAGGAAGGAAGGAAGGAAGGAAGGAAGGAAGGAAGGTCGGAAGGAAGGAAGGAAGGAGAACCATTATAATACATTGAATTTTCAGAAGAAGAGAACAGACCTATGGTCACTAGAGGTGGGAAAGGGGGAGGTAGAGGAAGATTAGGGAGATAGTGAATACAAAGAATATTATGATTTGTAGTGATGAGCAAAAAGAGCAGAAAAAATAAAAAAAACTAAAAGAGGGGATGCTGTCTGTAAAGCAACTATCACAACAAAGTTGATGTTGATGTGTTGGGTTTTTTAAAAAGGTAAATCAGAATCATTTCTTTTATTTCTCAACTCTCTGACTCCAGGCATCATTTGGTGATGGATTTCATTTCAAGTACACGATTTATTTCCCATTTTTTTCCTCACTATGTCAGGCTGAGTTAAAAAAAAAATATATACTCATATACATATATACACACACAAACATATACACATAAATATACATATATACATATATAAAACATATACATAAGCACATACATGTCTATAAACAGATAGGTATACATATACACATATATTTACATATGCATGTGTGTATAAATATATTTTTTATGTATGCAAATATGTATATTTCTTTTGTGTAAGACTTTACTCTAGAGTAAATGATAAAGAGGCTCAATTTAGGAAGTATGAAGTTTTGTCACGTACTCCAAACTTTTCTTGCTTTGTATTTTCAGATTTGCTTTTCAGATTTTTATAAATGTGTTTTTTGAAAATAGCACATTTTTAGGATGAAGAATCCCAGGCTCTTAATTTCACCACATGTGTCAGTCTTCCTTTCTCTTCCCTTACAATACCTATTGTTCCAATTGTATTTTTCGTTTTTAAGTTGCTGCAACCAAAATTGCATACGACACTTGATACTGACATGTTTTTCTTTTGCTTTAATGGCCCCATGTATGGTATTTTATGACTTTTCTTGTCTTTAAAAGCAGCTCATTAAGTCGGAAATCATAAAGAACCATCTGTGATCACCCTGTGGTTTCATTCCTAAGTGACTAATAATCACCCTTTAATTTTAGTTGTACAGCTTGAATTTTTAAAATTACATTTACATTATAAGTGGTCAAAAGAAAGATCACCTTTACATTGTCTCCTTTCCCTTTTCTGACATAGAATTCACTTTTATGTCTTTATTTGGGGTACAGAATATTACTCCGAGCTGGGTGTTTTACAAGTTCTCCACAAGACTTTAAGAATTATAACTGATCCTACAAAAACAAAAAACAAAAAACCCAAAACAGTATACAGGCAGGTTAAAGGGCTTTTCTGAGATTACATTAGATCACCTAACGCCTTCATTTTTAAGGTAGGTAGAGTATAACTAAATATAGAAAATAATAACAGCGATCCAAAAGACTAAAATGCAGCATGCATGTGTTTTAGGGGTAAGCATTGGTATTGAATAAATATTTTACCTCATGCTAAACATTTCAAATATACTTTAAAAATCTGCCATTTTTAGTTTCTGATTAATTTTGCTTACTTGGAATATAATTTGTTTTTTTGAGCATGATTTATGTGTTTTCAGAGACTGAACAGGATTTTTCTTTTGCATTTTAATTATCATTGCCTGGAAAATATAATTGCAAACAAGAAACAAGAGATGCTTTATCATCTTTCTTTAGTCACAAATTAATATTTATAATAAGGAAACTTTTTTTAGACCTAATCTTTCCACTTTTTTTTAACTTTCACACTTGCAAAATATCTTCATGGAGAATATGAAACCATGCAGTTCTTTTTTCTACACCATATCAAATAATCAGAAATTTGAAAACTGCACCATCTGAACAAATTGGGAGGCAAGACCAAGCTGCAGATCTAGAGTCTAGATCAATGAATGGTAAAATGATGCTTGACTAAAATTTTTATACTCATTCTTTAAAAAAATAAAAGTGGGTATCAGAGACAAATGAAAAGCAAAAATTATGGATTTCCTGTCTCAGCTCCATCTTAATTGTTTTTAAGGAGAATCTTTGATGTTAACCTCTAATTATTTTGACATTTGCGCCTTTGGGGTAGTATCAGGCACAGAGTAAAATAAAAAGCAAAAATTGCTAGAACTAAGGAAATAACTCTTAATATGATTAAATTTTGACCTTTACAATTTAAATGCTTTTTCATGCATGGTCTCATCTTTAAGTCTCACTTTTTTTGACCAGATGGGTTTAAATATCCTCTAATTTACAGACAAAGTGACATTGGTAAACATCATTTGAAGAAGTACCCAAATGAGAGATAAATAGAAATTTGATAATATTTATTTTAAATTTATCTTCTAGGTTTTACTATTGAATAACTACTCAGTTATGTCCTTCCTAAGCTATATTCCTTTTCATAATTTCCAGTCCATGCATCTTACCTTCTGTACCATACAACCTAAAACTTTACTCAGTTATAATAATATTTAAAATTATTGATAAAAGTGAGCTCTAAATGCAGGTACAGGTAGAGTGGAGAAAAATTCTAAAACATTTAAAAAGTTAAATAATTGCTGAAATTAAGTATCACTGTCTATCATAACATATGGACAGCATATTGTCTATGAAAAAAACTGTACTTTTTGTCTTCTGCACAATGAGTAAAGTGTTTATAAAAAAGTTTATGCAAATTAATATCAAATTTAGCAAACTATTGAGTGATGGGAAAAGACCTTCTCAATAGAACAAACTAATTAGCAAAGGGCATGAAAGGTAGGATAGAATATACTGGGAAAGTAACTGCTCAGTTTACAATGGAAATGTATGTGTGAAACCTACTGGTGGGGCTTAGGATTTCTAGTATTCCCACGGTGATCAAGAGAACCAGCTTCCTGTTAAACATGTCATACAACCTAGAAAGTAGCTCTCAAATGCCAACAAAGCTGCACCTGATATTTGCCAATAGACCAGGTGTTGTTGCCAGTAGATGAAATATGTTCCACAGCTTGATACCTTCATTTTATTAGTGGTATCTGAGGAGAGCAGCAATTTTGTAAAATAACAGAAAGTCAATTTCTTTTTT